TTCAGCAAGCAGGTCTGAATTAGAGAACATGAAATTTGAATCAAGGATTTCTTTCATTCTACACACTGTATATATCAATATAACCCTTATATCAGTAATAGCAGTGTGAATTCGTAAGAATGAAGATATTTGAAACTAGGCAATCGTCTACGTATATACCCTATAAAGAAAACACGAAATTTCTATTTATAGCCATCTGAACTTGATAAAAAATCTTGCACACATTATTTCTGAATTACACAGACTATTTTGAGTATTTTGCCCTGAACAATGATTTCGATCCCCATCCTTGGAAGTTTTTCTGGCGACGCCAATAACGATAAGTTATATTAGTAGGAAATGAAATTAAAAAGGAAAAGAAATATTCGAAAGACTACTTGTGAAGACAGTTTCAAAAAAGACTCATGACATAAATTTTCATTGTAGCGAGATATAGGTATTTGCTTGACTTGAATGGAGTGAAAAGTGGAATCATGTTGAGCAGGCCCGTGGAGCAGTAGCTCTGGCAACACTGCACGTACATAATACAATTACCTACGATTGCATTCAATTGTGTGCCACCTATTGGTGACCTGCTGTAACAGACGAATTCGAAGAACTCTACAATAGCTGTGAAAGCTGTAATTTAATTATTTTATTCCGATTTCGACATCACACTGACACCTAGAAATAGTTGTTGAACTATATTATATATAGGCTATATTCGGTCGGAAAGCTGTCGCGAAAGGCCCGCCTTGAGTCACTTTTCCCACGACATTTACGTAGGGAAGGCAGATTGAATTCGTCCAGTAGTGCATTGTAATCAAATCCTCTCTGAGGATACTGTTTATGTTTTTTAAAATAAAGGAACTTTACGAATTTTCTCTGTACAGATTCTATGAGATTGACATGATTTTGTTGACAAGGGTTCCAGACCGTGCTGCAATATTCAAGTTTACTTCTGACTAGTGAGAAATATATAGTTTTGATAGCATCAAGAGACTCGAATTCCTTACAATTTCGAATCAAGAAACCCATCATTTTCATGGCTTTGGTAACAATGTTTTCAACATGATTAGAAAATGTGAGTTTATTATCAAACATGACACCAAGATCTTTAGTATTCAACACACGGGATAAAATGGTATTATCTAAAGTATAATTATATTCAATTGATTCGACCTTTCGGGAGAAAGTCATTACCTTGCATTTGTTGATATTTACATAAAGCCTGTTACGAATACACCAGTCATTTAGAGAATCCAAGTCATTTTGCAATGACACACAGTCTGATACATTCTTAACCTCTCTATATATCTTTATATCATCAGCATACAGTAATTTCTGAGAAGAAATGGAATCACAAATATCATTTATAAATAGTAGGAAAAGTAAAGGTCCCAGATTGGACCCTTGGGGAACACCAGACGTGGAAACAAACATGAAAAATTTGACACCTTCATATTCAACAAATAGTTGCCTATCCGATAGAAATGATTTCAAAACACTCTGGATTGCTTTTGAAATGCCAAAACCGGATAATTTTTTCAAAAGGTTTGCATGTGACACTCGGTCAAAGGCTTTACTGAAGTCAGTGTGAATTACATCTACTTGTTTTCTGGAGTCGAGGGAGTTCGATACAAATTCAGTAGAAGTACAAAGATTCGTGGTTGTATTACGTCCTTCAACAAAGCCATGTTGAAATTCAGATTCAGAATTAGACCACCACTGAATATCCGTCAAGTTGTACCCCCCAATAATTGTTTGTTGATAGTTCTTTTCATTTTCATACCATCTGAATATGATTCATACCTTATTATACCATTATATATCTCCACATTAAGAGTAAAGAATGCCTAAAATAGGCTGAGATGGAATAGAAGGTTCACCCTCACTATTCCAAGCAGGGAACAATGGGAAGAGAACAGAGTGGAATTCCGCCCGGGGAGTCTAGTATGTTATACGGACGGATCGCGCCTAACTGACAAATAGGGGATGAGGGTGCAGGAATTTACCTAGAAGGAATAGGCATAAGAAAGTATACCACAGTTTTCCAGGCTGAGGTCTTTGCCATTCTGGCAGTAGCGGAGAGGCAAGAGGTGAAAGAGGGACCAGAGCAGAAGATTCACATCTGCTCGGATAGTCAGGCGGCTCTCAGGGCTGTCTGCCATCCTGAATCAAGCTCAGCTTTGGTGCAGGAATGTAGCGATGCTCTTGAGAAACTAGCTGAACAGAAGGAAGTCGAACTAGTATGGGTTCCGGGGCACAGGGGGGTGCCCGGGAACGAGGTGGCCGACGAGCTGGCTGGAATCGGATCCGCGACACCGTTCTGGGGACCGGAGCCTGCACTGGGAATATCAAGAAGCCAAACTCCGTCTGCCCTTAACAAATGGGCGGACAAGGCACTAGAAGTATATCGGAGACGTATAGGCGGCTGCAGGCAATCGAAAGACCTGTTGGCCGGTTCAAGCAAGCCAAAGACGGCTTGGTTACTGGGCAGGGATCGCCAAGTCCTGCGCCTTCTTATAGGGATACTGACAGGGCACAACAGGTTACGCAGACACCTTTCACTCATAGGTGTGAAAGATAGTCGCACTTGCCGTGAATGCGGAGAAGATGAGGAGACATCACTTCACTTCCTCGGAGAGTATGAGGCGTATAGAAGGATGAGATTCAAAATCTTCTGAGTAGATATACTACAACAGGAAGATCTGGTCGAATTAGAGTGGACGGACATCCTGACCTCCATCAGAAGGACGGAAAGGTTCGAAAAGGACAACTAGAAAAGGATTGTGTAGATATGTGGAGAGCAGTGGTTGGCAAAAAGGGCCCATGGGGGCCTACTTGCCTGGCTACAGCCTCCCCACAGTACTACTACTACTACTACTACTACATACCTTATTGTAACTATGAAACCACTGAGAGGATGCATTTTCTTTGGGCAAGTCCTATTTGCATCTCACAATGAATAAATTGCCGCACACAATCTGCCCTACATAGTGCCCATCTGCTTACCGCCAATTGATTTTGGCACCGACCTTTTTCGTTCGCCATATTATTGATCTGTAGGGAGTAACCAACCCTTCAATCATTAGCTTCGCAGATGACAGTACTCGCCATACTGCGCTCTCTTTCATAATACCTATTTTGTCCCGGAAAACTGAAAACTGAGAACAAAAACAGGTCGACGCTGGACGTCTTGCTTGGATCACAGCCCAAGAAACAACAACCTAGTTGAATTCAACGCCATCAAATCTCAAGCCTGTTTTTCTCAAGTAAAGCAGAAGTCTGATAGGGAAATATTTGGTGTTACCATTTTCACGAAGTCTATGGTATTTCAGCGGTAATCTTCAAGAATATAACGTCAGACTCATCGCGGAGCTGCTTCAAATAACTCGATTTTTCATGCCGAGCGAGAAGCTATTTCACATTTCAAAAACTTTTCATGAGCTACAATGCACAAATACGGCCAGTTTCAGAATACTGTTTCCACATGAAACTATGTGATTCAGCACTTGAATAGTAATCAATTTGGCAACAAATTGATTTTCGAGATATTCCCTAACCAATCGCGAATTTTGCGCTAAGGCACCATCTCGCTGAAACCACATTAACTCATAATCATCTCGTCTATGAATTTTATCAATAGCTCTAAATTGAGTGGAACTTTCAAATTATAATCGTAGATTATTGGACCTAGTAGTCTACTGTCTGAAAAAAATCCACAATGGGAAATAGTTATTTATGGACAAAAATTCTAGTAAGGTACCTAATATCCCACACCAAACATTGAGACAAAATTTATTCTGCTACTTCGATTCTATGATGGCATGCGGATCATTTTGTGCCCATAGTAATGATGATTATGTTCTTTGTAAATTCCATTTTTTTGAAATATCGTTTCATCGGTCCAGCAGATATTCAATGGAGAGTTCTCGATTCTTTCACACTGGTTGACGAACCAGTGACAAAACTCGAGACGACGTTCATTATCACCAGGTCTTGTACTGTCACTGGTTTTTGTGAACGGCATTGTTTGCCCCGAAATAATCAACTTGTATTTTCTCTTGACGTTCACAGAAATGTCACTTGCCAAGCCTACTCAACGAAAGTTGTGCCAGAACACATAATCATTTTTGTTCATAGAGAGCTCAGCGCATAGCCTACTGGATATGAAAACAATAATTGGAAATCAGTACTCCTCATATGATGAAACTGTGACTGTGATACATCACTTGAGAGGAAATTTCATGTTGATTTCAAATCTGTGAAGATCAAATATGGCGTCCATAAGGAAAATCGAAGTTGTAGGTGATGTCTCAGACATTTGACATTTTGATGAAAAACTGACAAAACCATTGAAAAGAACATCATAAAGTGCTATGAGAATGTTGAAGTAATTTTTCTGGAGTGGGGAGGGGATTCGCAATTGGAAAGGGAAACCCAACAAACCCTAATTCTAGAATTATAGTTGCAGATGTGTACCTTGTGGTAACCTTCTCAGTGGTTTCCACCATGATTCTAGATTTGGGGATTTTGGGTTCCCCTTTGTTGTTGCAAAAATGGAACCCTATCCCTCTTTAATATTTATCAATGTTAGGAAGTAATCAAACTTATTTTCATTCCCACGACACAATTTATGTTGCAATTTTTGATAAGGCTGAGGATGGATATGTATATATGTTCAAAACATGTACCAATTGATTTGATTGTTTGATCATATTGAAATGTTGTGATGATGATTTCGGGTATTATTTAGTAGTAACTACAGGGACATCTACCAAAGATCAACTTTCACTTATTCAACATTTTCAATTCAATAACGGCTATTGCCCTTTGAAAGCTAGAAGCTGATCACCTACTCACCAGGTATGCTTTGATGATGGTTTCATAACCAAAAGCGCTCTGCTACGATATTTTGTAAGAATTATCGTGCACGGAACAAGATTTGTACAATTAATTATCGAACTGCCAATCACAATCATTCTAGGTCCACCCGTTCTTCAAGTTCACCCCACAAGCCGACCGCTTCGACGTGGCCGTGCTGCGACTGGACCGCGCCGCTCACAACCTGCCCCACATCGTGCCCATATGCCTGCCACCCAAGGGCGACAACTTCCTGGGCGAGGTGGGTGTGGCTGCCGGGTGGGGCGCACTCAGCCCCGGCTCGAGGCTGCGGCCGCAGACGTTGCAGGCTGTGCAGGTGCCTGTGATCGAGAACAGGCAGTGCGAGAGGTGGCACAGGTTTGTATCCTATTTTTTCTGGATTTTTTTCATGTTCTGGCTCCCACGAAAAGGGATATCTTGAAATGTTCACAGAACATCGTGAAAACCAAGGGAAATAAAGTAGGAATTGGTGTTCTTCTTGAATTTTTGGAGGTTATACGACTCGGGAAACACCTCCCTTGGCAATGTATTCCAGATCCTCGATGTTTGTTGGATGAACGAGTCTTTGGAAAGAGATGTTCTGCAGGTCTCCAAAGTGACCACGAAGGGGTGCGAAGACTCAACTCGACGGGTTTTTCTCGCGGGGACTGCCAAGGAAGGAACAACTGTTGATATCTCAGAATAGCATCGTCCATGAAAATATCTATAAAAAAGAGCCAGATCGCCAATTTTTCTACGGTGTTTCAGAGAAGTGAGTGAGTTTGTGAGAGATGCATCACCCACGAGACGAATTGCCCTTTTTTGGACAGAATCCAACAGTTTCAGGGTATGCTTGGGTGCTGCACTCCAAATATGGAAACAGTATTCCAGGACAGGTCGAATCTGTGCCTTATAGATCATAAGCAGCTGACTGGAGGTAAAATAGCTGCTGGCCCGAAACAGAAAACTTTTTGGGATGCACTTCAAGCAATTGATCTCACGTGATTTTCCCAAGAAAGGTTATTGCTGATAGTGATACCAAGCATCGGAATGCATGTCTTCAAAGGTATGGTTACTCCTGACAAGCTTATGTTGGGCACTGTGAGATCGACTTTTCTAGAGAAAAGGCATGCTTGTGTTTTGTTTGCGTTGAAATCTACCAAGTTATTGGATCCCCATTCGAGAATTGTTGCCAAGTTCATATTCATGTTGTCAACATTTCTCCCTCGTTAGCTTCTGATTTGCCTAGCTGGTATTGGAGCCCTAGTATGTAGGGTACTATCATCCGCAAAGCTGTATACTGGTCATGAAGTTGCTTCCAACATATCATTGATATGGAGTAGAAATAGTGTTGGTGCTAGAATTGATTCTTGCGGAACACCAGCATTTATAAAAGGATGAAAAATAGAGTCAGATGAAACTCCATCGACCACTACATGGAGAGACCTGTTTGAGAGAAAACTAGCTAGCAGAGAACATTGCTGGGGAGGCAAGCCATAAGATGGAAGCTTGGCGAGGAGCCCGTGGTGCCAGACTCGATCGAATGTCTTGGAGATATCAAGTGCTACGGCTAAGGTTCCACCATAATTTTCAATAGATTGCTGCTAGATATGTGAGACGTAAGCGAGCAGGTCACCAGTGGATCTCTGATGACGGAAGCCATATTGCCTATCGTTGATGATACCTGAATGTTCCAGGTATTTCATAAGCTCGATAATGATAGCTTTCTCCATGATCTTTGAAATGATAGATAGAAGTGCGATCGGTCTGTAGTTGCTAGGTAGGGTCTTTTTGCCTTTTTCAGGAACTGGATGTACTCTTGCAATCTTCCAATTCGACGGGAATATATCTCGAATATACAGTGTGGTCATTCAAGTGTGCAACATATGGTAATCTTTTAAATGAATTGCACAACCCAAATACAGATAGTGTCGAAAGTTGGTACATCTTCGATAATCATTTTAGGTGCACTTAGAATGGTCACAAGTCAAATAGCATACTGGGTAGGTCTGAAAATCTAAGAATTGCTCAAGAGTCTAGTACCCCTACTTCAGGAAATTCAGTCAAATGGTTATAAGAAAAGTTGTTAACAATTGAAAGTTATGCCTAAATACCAAAACATCGCTTCCTGAGACATTGTCTAGTTCATCAATTCTTCTCGATAATAATTTCCCAATTTGTAAAACACTTGAGTCATGAGTCGATGATAGCGAAATCAATCAATATTTGTGCAATCAACTTGGATTTGAACTTTTATAAGGAATCCCAAACTTCATGTGTTGCAACAATATTCAGCTCAACTTCAAAATTTCGCAAACAATATCTTAAACTAGGTAAAACATTATAAGATGAGGAGTTGATGTCACCAAACTGTCTGAATATTAACTGTCAACCCTCATTTGTTTTTATCCCTAGGTATTCGTGATTATTTTGAATGCTATCATGGTTGTCGATTGATTTGTACAGCTGTTTCATCAACATTTCAAAAACGAAATGTTCACATCAAATGTAAGTTTCTGAATTTGCAAATTTTCATTAATGATGTTTTACCTTGTCAAAAATATGGTTTGCGAAATTTTTAAGTTGGTATAAATCGTTGCAACAAACATGAAGTTTGTGATTCCCAAAACAAATTATAATCCAAGTTGACAGCACAAATATGCTGGATTTTGAACAAATGTATGATAAACTGATTTTGTTATGATTAACTCATGAAAGTGTTTAGTGTGAATATAAAAAGAATCACAAATTGGGATATTATCAACGAAAAAAATGTTGAAACTCAAATATGTTTCAGGAGGCCATGTTCTGGTATTTTGGCATAACTTCCACTTGTGAACAACTTTTTTTATTGACATTTTTCTGAATTTTCTGAACTGATTCTATTTGACTTGCAACCATTCTGAGTGCACCGAAAATGATCACTGAACATGCACTAACTGTCGGCACTATCTGTATTTGGGTTGTGCAAAGGATTTCCATATTTTGCACATTCAAATGACCAGACTGTTATAAAGTGAATTTTGAACTGCATCGATTCGAATTTCATTCAATATTCCGAAAACAGAAAAAAAATGCGTAAGCAAAAAGAAGGGGCAACATGTACAGGATGAACAGCTTAAAACGGATGCCATCAATCGTTCTACCAACTTTGATCGTGAATATCTTCCGCTAGCGAAAAGCTACCATGTTGTGGTTCATTGGTCTCGTGAGATTCAGTTTCTTCATTTCATCGTGTAACAATGTGCATACCATTACAATTTTGGTTTTGAATCACGATAATCATATTGATACTCTGGATCACGACATCTAGCGGCAACGGTAATATGCATATGAAACCAATTCAAATCACAGATGATAAAACAAAATGAGGCCTTCACAATGGGTTCAATGTTGTTCTGTTGAAGATAACCGGAGTTTGAGACGTTCAGAAGGAACATAGTTTCACGTTTCTCCACCACTTCATTTTTTGAGATGAGACAAAAAGAGTGGAACGATAGAAACTGAAAATTCATAAAGGATCAAACCTCATACATATTCAGTACAGTTACTACTGAATACTGAGGAAATTCCAATTTTATCTTCACTCATGGTCTTCACGCCACCTATCGGATATTTTGGTAAACCTAGAAATATTTTCCAGCTATTTTTTTTGGATCACTTCACTCGAGATATATTTTTTCAAAGTTGAGTTTTTATACGTGGCGGAGATATGGCCGACAACCGTTTATAGTTGTTCACCCTGTATGCACTGAATGATAGAATTGTCACGTGCCAGGAATACAATGAATTGCATTTGTTTTTTACACTCTACAATTTGGTGCTTGTGTTCTCGCTGGACTCAAACGCTTGGATTGGGATTTTCACCTGTGATCAATGATTGACAAAAGTTTCAGGCAAACTTTGAAGTTCAATATCTACCTGATTATTTTCTTCGATAGAAGTATATTCTTCCATTCGCTTCTTTCTCCATCTTCTCTCATTCATTACATTCATCGTCCCAATTTTGGAAACACGCTGTATACTAGTTGCTTCACGGTGGATGGAACAATAGGAGTATATACGGAACAGTAAGACAGATCATTTCGAAGATTTGTGGACGAGGATAATCAAACATGCTCTATTCGGCTGAAATATTTTCATCAATACGGAGTTGCTGCTTAAAAAAGAAGTAATAGCTATTTTGTTATCCCAAATGAAACACCCCGTATATTATGTCATTCTTGTATTCCATGGAAGAATCCTCATAACATTTCTTGATTTATCCTTGACAGTTTTCGCGATAACAATCATATTGCCAAATCTTTGTGCAAAAAATAACTTTTGGAATATGACGATTTCTTCAACAACAACAAAATCTTTTACGAATCAGGATTCATCGTATTGTGACGTAAGAATATGAGACGTTGTGGTGGAACAAACAGAGAAATGGCACAGAAGAACGAAAATAATACCTTCAATATATTCCAATGACTTATTTGGAAAGTGCATATTAAGAAACAAAAAAAAACCTCATGCTAACATCTTTGAAACAACCCAAGGATACTTCCTCAGTAGGCTTACGAAAACACGCCACAGAAAAAAAAAGGAAACTTCCAATATCCTTTGGAGACCTTTCTGGAAATGCATAATACGTCTAAAAAAACATCATGGTTGCCTAGTGTTTGACACATTCCAAAACATCCCAGGGATCCCTCTCAGTATATGCACACAAAGGAACGCCACAAAAGTACAAGAACAATACTTCAATAGCCTCGAAGACTTCTTTGGGACGTGAATATTACGTCTGTAAAAAAAAAAGTCTTGATGCCAACATTTTCAGAATATTCCGAAACTTCCCAGGGATGTTTGTGCTCGTTGGGTAGAAACCTACATCAATTTTTGTACCACTTTTCACTCTTTTTCCATGTAAATAATGAGTCTATGCATTGTTGTAAATCGTTTGATTTTAGAGCTCATTTGAAACGTACCGTCGTGGCCGCCGTTTGGAGATACGTCGAATAGATGATGACGTCAGTTTTTATGCTGTTTCATTATTGGTCAGTTGATCTTCCATTTCAACTCAAGAAGCAAGGTTGTCAAGTCATCAATAATGATCAGCATATCCTGAAGATGTTATAGTCCAGACTTTTTCGAGCAACCAGCATGTCCAAATAGGTCTTATAACTTCATAACAATATATCATGTGTATGTAAGAGACTTGGCAACACTGTGCTGAATGCTGAGAATCGACACCTCCCAAAATTCGTGCCCTGTGTTGTCACGTTCACCAGTTCGAATGTCCTCTAGTGTGAGATAATATAATTATTATTCACACAGATATTTCATAAGCATTAG